TGAAAGTTTTAATGTGACTCAACTTGGGAAGACACTGTAAATTTATAGTGGAGGTGGGGTCCCTTTCTTCGTTAAACAGCTGCATTGAAGGGTGATTTCGGATCCCTTTCTTCGTTAAGCCACCGCATTGAAGTATGAAACGCATCCCTCAAGTATACTTATAAATTGCCTGATGACTCAGAACAGAAAACTGAACTTATTAACTTGCTCTTATTCTAATGCATTTCTCTAGTCTATGGCGAGAACAAACAGAGTTTTTCTTTAAAATTAATTTCAAATCTCAAATATAATTCTTCATTATAAAGGTAAGTTATTGATGTGTAATATCTAAATTAATCATAAAAAAATTCTTATAATTTAAAAACTTGCTAAAACTTCAATTCAGCTAAGCTTTTATCCATTATCTGAAAAATCCAAAATCATCACCATTAACAATGCAAATGTCTACTAATATCAATTTAATTAAATATTTTTATGATAAATATGAAATATAAATATAATCTATGTTTCCAATTCATTAAGAAACATCATAACATGCCAAAATTAAAAACAAAATATTTTAAACACATCCTGCGCTATAGTGCAGGATCGATCAACCAATCAATCAGCTCGACAATCGAAAATCAATCGACTTGAATGGAGCACATCATCTAAAAAGCGTTTCTATTAATGTGCAAGTTTGAAGACATTATGAAAGAAGCTGAGTTTATTGCAAATAAATGGAGCATAGAAACTAAATTTGGAAAATAAAAGAGATATGAAGAACCTAAAACACTGTCATTGTTAACAAATACGGAAATTATTAATAATGTTTCAAAAATACAGAAAACATATAAAGAAGACTTGTACTGGAAGTACAACTTTTATTATTTAAATACTTCAGAACAGAAACCCAAAATTTGAAATCGTTAAGGATTTAGCTAAATTAGCAGGGTAAAATATTAGACATGACAAGCAGTTATTCGGGAGTGTGCAACTCATTTATATGTATTTATCATTACCTGTAACCACAGCCACGACTGAGAGGTCATTTTCAACACTGAAACTAATAAAACATATTTAAGTAACAGTATGACAACAAATCGGTTGTCATCAACCTTTCACTATTGAGCGTTGAAGCTGAGATGGCTGAGAAATGGACGTCCAAGTATTGATAATAATTTTGCGGAAATGAAGGTTAGGAGACGCAATTTTTAAAAGAAGAATTTTTTTTTTTTTTCTTTATGATGAATTTTGGCCCGAATGTTATCATTTACTATTGAGGAAGGAAAAAAAACAGAAGAAGAGCAAGTACGGACTGAGGAAAATTAAAAGGAAACAGTAAAAAACTTTAGCATTCATATTTTTTATAAAAATCATGTATTCAAGTAGTTTAGTGTACCAAAAGGTTTTTTAAAAAGACAGAAAAAAATTTTACCATACATATTGTATGTTTTTGCATAGGGGCCCAAGAGTTCTAGTTACGTCACTGCACACAGGTTCCCCTGTTTACAGCAGCAGAGCTCGGGGTCAGTACTTGGGTGGATGACCACCCACGTGACTGGCTTCGACGTATCATCTTTCAAGGATCAAGGAAGTTAATTTACGGAGTGCGCTAGGCTATTTCTTCAACTAGTGAAGATACATCACAGCTTGTACGCCGGCCCAGATGCTTGAACCTTCCTTCTCCAAAGTCTACTTGACCAACTCCGTGCATTAGCACATGTTCCTGCTTACCTTTGTCGGTGCGGTGTAAATCACCTTAATTTTTAATTCTTCCCAACGCCTTAGGGCATATCTCCAACAGAGACGGTTAAAGTAGCAGAGGCTACTAAATGCCGCCTAACCATTCACTCGATTTCGTTAAAAAATGAAATTTAACTCTGTTAAGCGAATCTAGGGCCAGAATGTCCGTATGGTAAAGAAATATAGTGAATTTTAAAGAGTGCATTTATTCTATTGTGGTTTATGCGTTAATGACGAAATAAATTTATTTCAATCCAATAAGTTTAAATGAAATGCAGGAAAAAATGCGTATAATTTAATATTCCGTACAAGAAAGTCATGTGTTGTACACGTGACACTTTTTTATTTCTAGTTAACCACTATACAAGGGGCTACTTACTCACCTAGTATGGCTCAACTCTATGTGGTCTCTGACCAATGCTCAGTTCTCAGTGCAGATAGCTGCACTAGCAGTTACTATAAACAGTATGTCGGCTCTTAGCACAACAATACAACAGATGCAGATAGCCATCCCTATCTTTTAAATTCTTTCGCGCATACTTCGCTTGGCATAAATTCCTGAGTGAATATATGTCACGTAAAGCAAAGGAAACAGAGGAAAATGTTTAAATTAAGCTTAATTATTAGTAAAACTAAAAATAATCGCCACAAAATGAAATGAGTCTTTAACGTCAAAAGCAGTTAATCCGCTGTTTTAAAGAACATTCCATATCAAATTGAAATTGCAATTCAGCTCTCTTTAAAAACAACAACTTAATTCGAATGGCATATTGCTTTATCCAGACTCTATCCTAGGCGACTGGGCTGGCTGCACAGTTGGTTTTCGTGATTTTCCCAAGTTTAACGTGAATACGAGCAAGTTTCCTTTAGTTTCCTCCACGAAAGCATTCTTCCTCTTAGGCAGATATCCCTTACACGCTTTGTTATATTTGAACAACCCTCAAACTTAATCCTGTAGTATGAGAAAGTGCAATGAATTTTAGAAAGTAGTTCTTGCTCCTTTCGTTCAATTTTCAAAGAAAATGTTAAAATAAGAAATGTGGACGTTTATGGTCAATTTTCCAACAAGTATTATCATCGTTATATTTACATATAAAAGGCTAACTGGTGTACAGACGACACACTTTTAATGACAAATTCCCAATCGGCATGATACTGCTTATACAATTCAGTGGTGAAGTAGCTTTTAGCTAGCATTACCTAGTGGTGAACAGTAGCTAAAAGGAAAAGTTACCTGTCCCTCCTCCCCATCTCAAAGAAGAGGGACCTATATCTGATAACCCTCGAAATACATACTATGCTATTCAAAAATTATGTAGAAATCAAGTTGTGTTTTGCCTGGTTTTTAAAAAGTTACTCCCGAAACGGTAGTAAATCTGTCATTCCAGAAGCTACTTTTTTAAATATAAACCAATAAAAAGCTGAATTCGAATGTGTACCTCTTGACTTCCTTGTACGAAGTAAAGGAAGTATTGTAATCACGGAAAATTCCGGGTACCATATGTCAGCGAAAATACACATTTTGACCATTTTCGAATCCATTTGGAAAGTTTTTTTGCTTGACATCTGTACAAACAAACATATTAAAGATTTTTTTCCTCAAAACGTATTGCAAAATGGATTCAAAATGCACTTTTTCGTGACATCTGTACGCATGTATGTATGTATGCATCACCTATAACTCAAAAACAATTAGCCGTACAACCTTTAAATTTTGTATATGGGACTGCTATAACATCTAGTTATGCACCTAATTTTTTTTTATTGCAATCGCAATAACAAACACGTATATATACCTCCTCTTGATAATGTTGAATCACATTTGATTGCATTCGTCTTTTCTGTGTATTTGTTGTAGTCTGTGTTTCACATTTCTTTATTGAAAATTCTGACTTTTGGTTGATTTTTTAATATTTTTAGGTAATTTTAAAATTTTACTGGCTTTGAATTTCATTTCGTTTGGATCTTTATGTATCTGGTTCTTTTGTCTATAATTGATTCAGTTTCAGCAGCAAATTGCGGAAATTAGATTGGTATAATTTTTTTGTTTTTAATAAAAATTTGTGATACTGTAATATAAAGGGTGTGGATATCCAGACTTAAAAGTCCTCACAGTCTGTCTATCATAAGAAAAGCTCTCGCCAGTTAGTCTGCAGCTGTCTGTTGCCGTAGAAACGAGTCTTGACCCATTTTCAGTAGGGCTGTCTTGAAGACGAATGATAAACTCTTTTCCCCTCATTTAACAGTAGCCGCAAAGAAAATAACAATAAAGCAGCACTTGGTTCGCCCCTATTTGAAATATACAAGCCCTGTTGCTATAGCAATCGTCATCCACCAGACACTGTGGCGGAACCTTTTCTTCTCGTAGACAGACAGTACCTAGCCATTATTTTGGCAGTCTTCTTTGTTCGTAGTCTTACATTTCCAGTTACAGAAATGTTTTAGATGACGAAAATGTTCATGCTTTGGCAATGTCAAATGTTTAAAAAAAAATAAATTTCTGACAAATAACGAAATCTAATTACATATATAATGCAGAAATATACATGCAGAAAGGATGGAGAAAATATCTTATAAGTTTATTGCTGTTCTAAAAAGAATATTTGATAGGCCGTACAAGGAAGACAATGATGTGGATTTAATGTGAATGATTCATAGCTTTTGTTAACCATTATTTGTAGTTCATAAATATATTTTACATGTGTTGATGGTATCCTTAATGTAAATTTGCTAAAGTTATTACTGAAAAGAAAGGAATAGTTTATATATTGTGCTACCATAGTTATTTTGACATCCTTGTCTTTCAAAAGTAACAACCAAAGTATATTTTAAAGAGTTGGAATGAAATTAAAAGAAGGAAGTCATGTGATGACCACATTAGACTTTTTTAAGTTGATGACAAATATAAGAATAAAATTGCTCAGGAATTCATTACTTTTTTGGTGAATCTCCAAAGCAATTTTTTGTACAACAGACTTTATTGCTGGTCATTAAAAAATAGTAAATTTAGTGTACAGCTCTTGTAATATATATCTCAGGCAGTGTGGTGCTTCGCATATCTTTGTTGGCCCTTACGGATAAGTGTGTGTTTACAAAATCTTATTTTTGTTATCTTATTAAGTTTATTCATGCTAAGCCTCGTGTTATATATTTATATAAGCGTCATATTTGGGAGGGAGGCAATGCCTATATCGAAATATTCGAGTGACATCTTTAATCTAAAATCGGGGCGTCTTTTGACCTTGGGGCAATCCGTACAGAATTCGAAAGTACACGAATGTGTCAAGAGAGGAATCCCGTTTTGGAGATGAGAGAAAATTGACCCTTCTTCGAGCTATCCCATCAACACACGTGCTATTTGGCACCATGCAGTCCCAACTAACATGTGGTGAGCATTTTCTAGCAAAACGACCTTTGCCTCGTGGAGAGTCGTTGACCCCGAGAAAAGAACGATCTTAACGTGGACCGCTGCATTCTGCTCCTTTCATCCACTCTCCAGACCGCCCAGTCGGTCGCCATGACAACCGCCATTTTCATCCAAGTGTAATTCACTGCAAGTGGTTGGTTCCCTGCAGCACGGATACGAGAATTTCGATAAGAACTGCGGATGGAATTAGTTGTGAGGTTGAAGTTACTGGAATAAATTTTTCCAAATTTGGTATTAGTTTTTCGGGGTAATTTATTAAACATAATCAATCGTTTTAAGCCGAAAAAGACTGCCGATGAAATATTCGGGAATTTGATCTCGTTTTTCTCCTTACTCGTCATTAAGTGCTGAAATTGTAAATTATTTCAGAATTCTGCAGTATAAATTATTTGTTTTCTAAATAATACAATAGTTTCAAATTTTCTAATGAATCAGAGCTTTTTACATCAGAGATCTTGTTCTTTAACTATTAGGAATTATGTTTTTATTATAGGGTAAGTGGATGATTGTTCCTTTTTATTTTATTTTATTTATTTATTTATTTATTTATTTATTTATTTTTATTTTTATTTTTTTTTTTTTTTTTTTTTTTTTTTTTTTTTTTCATTTCTGTTGCCAATGCTGCGTACTAAACTTTGTTTTATAAAGTCTTAAAATTAGTGTGAGTGTGACATCAAAACACATGCTGAAGAAGAATTTTTGAAAATGTATGTAGAAAAAATAAATATTTTAGGAGGGAAAGTAAAATTCCGCGAAACAGATTCAGTCCATGGACCATATTCTATAAAAACACAATTATATATATACATATATATTGAGAGAGAGAGAGAATAATTGTTTGAATGTAGTTTTATAAATGAAGCAGATATTTTAAAGATACCGAATAATATGAATCGGTCTTTACTGTCCAAACAAGCAAGAGATCAAATATTTTACTGTTTTTAACTTCGATATACGAAGTAAAGGAAGTACTATAATCGCGAAAAATTTCAGGTATCATATTTCAACAAAAATATGTATCTTGACTGTTCCTGAATTCATTTCCCCCCCTTGACGTCTGGACGTACGGACAGAATAAACGACTCTGTTTTCCAACACGGATTGTAAAATAGATTCAGAAGAGATATTTTCTGAAGTCTGTACACGTAGGTATGTATATATATATATATCTCGCATAACTAAAAAACCATTAGCCGTAGAAGGTTTAAATTTTGTATACGGGACTATTACATCTAGTTGTGCACCTCGTTTTTTTTTATTGCAGGCAGTACCAAACGTATACATGTACTTTCACCTCCTTAACACAGATTAACGTCCCTAGCCGAACTTTATTTTCACAATCGTTGGTCGTAGTCATATACTTCCAACTATATAATTGTTTTAAGTGACGAAAATATTCATGTTTTGGACATGCCAAATTAAAAATTAAAAAAAAAAAAATCTGAAAGCTTTCAGATTTTACACTGACTTTGTGACTAAAGTGACTTTTTTTAACAATTGTGTGTTACCTTTATTTACTAAATATCCTGTTCTTCGCACTTAAACCATAAAATTCATTTCAACACCAATATTGAAAAATAATTTAAAATGAGCATATCTTTAGAATTTCCGATACACAGTCTCCCGCGGTGGAAATAAAAGATTCCCCCCCCCCCCCGCGTACAGTGGTGCCATTGCTCGCTTTGCAATCGTTGAGTTTGTCAATCAAAAATTCGTTAAAGTGTTAAAAATATAAAATTAATAATAAAAAAAATTCCAAATTTGATCTTCCAGATGCCCATATTCGGGTGGAAACGTACGTTATTCAAAATTGGATGTCTCTAGGTACTCTTGTTTTATCACAATGCGAGAAACATACATACATTTATGCAGATTTCTTCATTATTTAATTCCTTTAAATATAACACAGGCTGATAATATTTGGTGGCAACAATTTGAAAAGTGAACCGACATTTAACGTTTTCCAACGGAAAACACCAAAGCGAAATTAATAGCCCTTCTGTTATAACGCCCTTTGGGCTAAAAAAAATCGCCAAATAGCGAAATTTAACTTTTAATGTGGTCTCCCAGTTCCTATACTTTTATTTAGGAAAGTTTTATACTTGTTATGAAAAATAAAATCATAAAAAACTTGACAGTCGTACGACAATAAGGATCTATCAAATTTATCATATTTCGTCAGTTTTATCGCAAGTATAATATCTAGAGTAGAATTCTAAAAACTAAGAATTGTTCCAAACAGCAGAAAATAAAAGTGAAGGACTTATAACGTAAGATCTAGTCTTTTTGGCTAACATATATTGCTACTGGACGTACTTGAAAGTCTGTTAGCAACTTATCGCTAAGACTAGAAGATAAATATGACAGGAGAAAGGTCTAAAATTCTCTTTTATTGAACTCAGCTAGATGGCACAGTCTTTGTGCTTACAAATCCACCATCCACTTGTGGTGATAAATGAGTCTAAAGATAATGGTAAACTAAACTAAATTTAAAGTAGTACTTCAAGAGTACACAAATTGGTTTTATTTAGAAACCTACACCGGCGTGATATAAAACTTTGGTGGCAGGAATGCGTTTGTCGAGAATCAGAATTCAAACAGCTGGTAGAACAACGTGCGCACTCAGCAATAAAATACGCTCTGACTTATCTTTTCGCTACTTCAGTTTAAATAAGTATACTACCCTAACTCATTTCCATCCTGGCCAGGAAACGAGAAATGTCAGAAAAAGGTAATCAATTAAAATAACTATTCGCAAAAAAATACACCTCTTAATGATATAGGGATATATGTCGCACTTTGAAATCATAAGCTTAAGTATATTGTTATTATTCTAAATAAATACAAACAGACTAATATTTTGAAACGAAATTTGAAATTATAGACATAAAAATATGAGATGTTTGCAGAATTAAATCCTTGTTTTACCAACATAATGATAGCGACCATAATGTTATGAATGTGCAGCCACGGATGAAATGGCATAGCTAGAGGATGGCGGAATGGTGCTCCGCCCAGGGCAGTATATTTTGGGGGATTTTTTTTTCGCTTGAAGCATCATTTTATATAAAATATTCATATTTATATAAAACATTTACGCAAATTATATATATTTTTTTCAATTTTTGTAGAGAAGGGTGGAGTGGTGGTCCGCCCCGGGCGGTATATTTTGGGTACTTTTTCGCTTGAAACATTATTTTATATAAAATGTTCAAGTTCCACATCTGTTAATAGTACTACGAATTTTCTTCACAATTTCTGTAAGTGTTGCTAGCTATTAGAAGCGTTTTCTATATAAGAATCATTTAAGTAATATTTAATAACTACAAATGTTTATTTTGCATTTAAGTAAACTTTCTGCACTGCACGCACAACAGAAAATGGAGCAATCAAGTAGACCCCTATGATGTCTTCGATGATTTTCCGAACAAACAAACAAAAAAAAAAAAAAAAAGAGAGAGAGAGAGAGAGAACGAGAGAAATAGTAATATAATTTAAAATGGTGGAATTAAAGCTTTCCTTCAAAAATGAAAGTAGAGTTTTAATTTATTTTGCTAAATGACATTTTCACATTTTTTGTTTTACGTCAAGAAGGGCGGCAAATTCAGTTATTGCCCGGGCAGTAAAAATCTAGCTACGCCACTGCATGGGTACTATTTACGATTCTTGAAATATTCAAAACATCTCCTCAGTATTCAGATTTAAACCTCATCGAGCAGTAGTTATAGGTACTTGTTTCTAAATCAAGAGGGGTGGCAAATTCAGTTACCTCCCCGGGTGGCAAAAGAGTTACTTTTTAAGATTTTTGAAATAATCAAAATATCTCCTCAGTATCCAGATTTAAACCCCTTAAGAAATGGGTTATAAAATTCGAAAATAAAATATTCCTTTAAAATAACCTTTGAGCAAGAAGAATGGACAAATATAAGGCAAGAAATAATAAAAAAAAAATACAGTTGAAATGATGCCAAAAAGATCAAACCGTATTTTCGAAAGTTAAAGGTCCCCCCATAAGATTTTTCCCCCTCCTCCCCCTGTTAGTCTGCTAAGTATCTGATAACCTGTTGTGACACGTGTTCTGTTCAAAACAGAACATATTAAATTTTATGTTCAATATTTTTTGTGAGGCGGTTGGGAGGCCGGAGGAATATTTAGTGTAAGAAAATCGCTGGGTAAACATATGTATTTCAAAAGAACATATAATATTTCTTTAGTAAATAAATTATAATTATCTTACTATGCAGCTATTGCACAAGTATCAGAATAACTTGTTATCGAAATAAGTGAATTTTAAATCATATATATATTACATATATATTAGATAAGAATTTTAGTTTAACGCACTCCTCCCCCCCCCCTTTTTTTTTTAAGTCCAAAGGGGCTTTGTCCCTGAGAGACTATTGTTTTCGTTTTGCGATTTTGCGTCGAATCACTCTGAATGTCTGTTTCACTTTTCAAACTGTTGGCACCAAATATTATCGCCCTGTATTAGATTTGAAGAAATAAAATAATGAAGAATCTGCATAAATGTATGTATATTTCGAGCATGGTAATAAAATAACGGTACCTAGAGCTATCCAATTTTGAATGACGTAATCCTACTGCGAATATGGGTATGTGGAAGCCCGACTTTGGAATTTGTTTTATTATCGATTTCATATTTTGTAAAACTTTAACGAGTTTTTGATTAACAAACTCAATGATTTCAAAGCGAGCCATGGCAAAGTTGTACAGAAAAAAAAAAAAAAAAATTATCTCCAGTGCGTGAGACTGTGTATCGGAAATTCTAAAGACAGACTCAGTTTAAAAACTATTTTGCGATACTGCTGTTGAACTGAATTTTATGGTTTAAGTTCGAAGAACATGATATTTAATAAATAAAGGTAAGACAGAAAATGTTTAAAAAAACGCCCCTTTGGGCGTAATTTAAAATCTGAAACTTTTCAAATTTTAATTCCCCCCGTACAGTGTTGCCATTGCTCGCTTTGGAATCGTTGAGTTTCTTAATCAAAAACTCATAAATGTTTTAAAACTATGAAAAAGATAATAAAACAAGTTCCACATTTTCGCTTCCAGATGTCCATATTCGCAGTAGGATTACGTTATTCAAAATTGGATGGCTCTATGTACCGTTGTTTTATCAGAATGCGAGAAAAATATATACATTTATGCAGATTCTTCATTATTCAATTTCTTTCAATATCATACAGGGCGATAATATTGGGTGGCAACAATTTGAAAAGTGAAACGCCGTTCATAGTGAAACGCCACAAAACACCAAATGCCCTTCGAGTTAATAAAAAAGGCTTATTAAAAAGGAAAACAAAAGCAAGTGTAATAAACTACATTAATCAACTACAGTATTAAGGCCGATTCCTACTTTTCTTTGATTCTTCACAATCGTCTAGCAACCAGCCGTAACCCCCCTAACTTGTTATCTGATATCGGAAATGAATGTTCAGATTTTCGCCGGAAGTAGTTCCTGGTAAATTTC